GAACTGCCTGAAAACTAATCTGACAAAAAAACCCCAAATTTGGCCATCTTAACCAGATCGTTTGTCAGATCAGGTTCACTGCAAGGTCACAGGAGATTCTGTTCCACTACAGGGAAAGGGACAGTACAGGGATGTGGATAAGAAAGCAAGAGTAGGAATCACTCCTGCTTCTCAGCTATGCTTGTTTAACATTCTTATTGTCTTGCAGCCTCTGACCAGTCACAAGCAATTGCAATAGTAATGAAGCCGCTATGAAATAAAAATAAATGTTAAAAATGCTTGTACCTGTACTTACATTATCTGAAAACAGTACCATCAATCGTTCAATCCTTGTGAACAGTGCCATTTTCACAGTTAAACCAAGTATTTTGCCAGATACATCTTGCATATTTGCAATTTAAGTTAAAACAGTGATTTGCGCAGGGGGATCATTGACATTTCCCTGTTTTACCCCCTCCACTTACTTTCTACAATCGTTAGACGCTGTATGGGTACATATGGTGCTGTGCACGTTGCTAAGATGTAGTCACATTGCTGAAGTGTGCTGCCTTATCCCCTCACTTTTGTCACTCGCAAGTATCTCAGAACTGTGTAGCCATAGCCAGTTCACAGGCACTTGATGGTGCTAGTGGGGAAAGGCAGTTTCAGATCTGGTCGTGCATTTATCACCCACAGAAATACAGCCCCGCATCTCAGTGAACTTCAAACAACCTTTTTCCTTCTCTTAGCAGAGGTCTGTCAGCTCTCAACAGTTGCAGGAGTCTGCACCTCCAGAACTCCTTGCAAGACTGGTACTTGGACTGTAAGAACTTTAGGGTGAGTGGGTTTTTGTATGTCCATGAAGTCCATTAAGGTAGGATTAGGGGACCTATAATACGCTATATTGTTTTATTACTGATCTTGAGCATTGCTGTTAGAGATACATTCTTAGATCAGAGCCACATTCTTAGATTAGAGCCTTGATTGTAGAAACCAGAGCTAAAATATTGCCTTGCAGTTTTCCCCAGTTTCTCTATGACTTCCAACTAACCCTTCTATGAGTTTCAGTCTGGAATACGTGGCTGTTTTCTTTCCTTCTGCAAGTTTTTCACCAAACCTCTGAAGTGTTATTCTTCCCAACGTTTACTGTATCCCATAAACAGTTGTGAGATCACTTGACTCACAGCTTTCCAATACCATTCACCTGCTTTCCGTTTCTGGCTGGAAGGGTTGAAGAAACTGTCACTGCACCATGTCTAAGGTAGTCAATAACAAAAGCTGGCAGAAAAGGCATTTTAGTGAGTCTGAAATTCAACAAAGCATGTTTGAGCTATTTGTACTATAGCTAACAGCTTATTAATTTGGTACAGGCAAAAGGAGCTCTTAGCTTTTCCAGCTGCTCTATTTTAATCAACATTACTGTATACCAGATGAATTACTGTTGCATGATTTAAAGTCAGTAGGGTTAACTTTGCTTGAAATGTTTCCTAAACTACTGTCCAGAGAACCCAAACAAGGACTCTTTATTGGAATAGCGCTTCACACTGCTCAGCTAATCTAGGTAGAAATCTATGTGATACAGTTGGTTTTTACAGGCTGGATGACGCAAAATTGCCCACTGCTATAGAGCCCTATAATATATATATTTAAAGGGACAGCGATCTTTCTTGCTGAGAGGCCTTGATCTCAGTCCCACTGTTTGCCGTGCAGAAGAGGCCCTAAGTAGGGTAGCTTGCAAACCTATGGTCTTGCCATCACCATGTGAAATTTAGCCATTTTCCAAACGTGCTGGTACATGATATCCCCATGACTCTGTATACAGTTCCATTCTTGTAAGGTATTTCTTCAACTCTGTAAGGAGATCTTTTCCCTGAATGCGTTGACAGATGTGGTCCATGTCTATTCACAATACTTTCTAGGCTAATAACCATTAGAAATGTGATCATTGACTTCATTAAATCTTACTATTTATTTTTAATATGTTCCGATATCAAGTTCAAATTGGCCAGTATATCTAACAATTTCAAAGTTCTTGGAGAAGGAGCACAACAGCAGTTGGCAGTGATCTCACAAGGTCACCTAACTCCCAAGTCCTGTAAGGTTCTGCTTTTATTTTTGACAGCGGTGCTTATAGGCAATATATCTTATTTCTTTAAGCATGGTAATGTTCTGTGTAATTTTTCAATTGCTAGCTCTGTCTTCCTCTTTTGCTTCTTAAAGTTTTTGCTGTCACATACGTGTTTATTTTGATAGCAGCTTACAGAAAAATAAGCAAATAATGTATCTTTAATGGACAGTATCAAGGAAAAGAAATCTAAACTTTGAAAAACTCTTATTTGAACTAATTTTGATTTTAAGAAAATAGAGTGTTATATAATGGTTGGAAATGGTTGGAACAGTATTCTGGTTCACTAGCTCTGAAAAACATCATTATAAGAAGGGTATACATGTGGGTTTTAATCAAAATAAGTCTAGGTAGTCTTTTTTGTGATGCAGAATTAGCTACATTATATTTATGTCAGACATTATAATAAAACTTTCTACAAATTTTTTGCTCCTTCCAGCAAAAAACTTCTAGATTTAACCATTTGGGGTTGTATCACAACAGATGAAAGTGAGTAAAACTGTTGAGGTCATTTTGGGTGCTGTTATATTTGGTGCACATCTGCCACATGTTAAATATTAGTAGGCTTGAATTTCCTAGAAGTGGATTATTAGCGTATATATTTATATATCAGTAGGTTTGAAGTTGCTTTTTGAATCTTCTAGAGTTTCAAGCACGTATCAATATAAACAATTTTCTTCAGCTGCACAGCTTTTCTGAATGAATTGAACTAATCACTACTACAGTGAAAATCACAAAAGGGCAATTTAACATGTTGATTTTCATTACTACCACGAATCTACTGTTCATCACACACAGGACTAAACATGCTTGAAATACATGTTTTCGAAGAGAAGGTCCAAGAGCTAGAGCCCTTTGAAATGTCTTCCTAATCTGTGCCCCATAAATTGTATCGTCTCCCTGTTAGGTCAACTCTTCCTTTGATCTGTCTTACGATTCCAGTTTTTAACAACTATTCAATAGCTTTTCAAAATAATATTTCATTGCTTTCTTCCATGCATCTTTTCCTACTTGGGAGGGATCCTTTATAAACATCCATGAAGCTCCCTTACTTTCATTGCTCAGATTCCTCTTTAAAATTCTCATTTGCTCTAATGACTTATAAAAAAAATGCCAGTGCTTAGCTGCCAACGTGCTATGACTGGCAGGTATCATATCAAGAAAGTATTCTTCAGTAATTAGTGTCTTCCTCATCATTTGTTTGAACACATTTGAGACTCCTTCGTGTAGCTGTGTGGATGTACAGAAACTAGGAAAAGAGTGCTAAGCTAGGGACCTAAACCTTGCCACACATACTTTCTTTTAATGAAAGTAAGAAGTAATAATAATTTAAAAGCTCAAGTTCTGTCTAATATGCATGCTGCTGCTTAAAAATGTTGAAGTTGCTATACAGTTTTAGTTGTGATGGATTTTTATTTGGGATATAAGGAACAGAGAATGTGAATTTAATCAAAAGATCTTTTGAGTGAGATTTTTCATTTTCAATGATATGAAAAAAATATTAACAAAGATGGGAATCAGATTTTTGGAAATTCTGAATGTGTTTCTGTTACAAAGTAGTGTTGTCTCAGTGAAACTGGCACTGAATAAAGCACTTTTTAGCATGGTTAAAGCCAGTAAGCAGCTGGTTCTTGGTTAGGATAGCATGGTTTTCTCTGTGGCTAAGCCCAAAAATTCTGTGTATCTCTACGGCTGAATAAATTCAGTATGCAGATATGTTTCCTTGGAAACAACTCGTAATTTTAAAGCACACGCAGCAATACAGCCCTTATGTAATTTATTAATGTGAAAGACCTGGCTCTCGTGAGCCTTATTAAATAGATCAGCCTGTATTGGCAGGAAGAAGGAATTTTCTTTGATTACAAATACAGCTTTTCAAGTGCTATTAGATGCTGAGATATTCGTGAGTAGAGCTGATACTGCTGCTATTGTGCCAAGCTGTATTGCCCATTAGGGTGAAACTGTCCACACACTTTCTTCCTGAAGAATATGAATACTCAGGACATTCTGCCTATTCTAACAACTTCCTTCTTTATTGCTGCTAGGATGCCACAATTTAGAAAAGGTTATCTTGCTTTTCCTCTTTAAGGTGCCACATTCCAAGGAACAGAAATCCTAGTTTGAGTTTAAACAAAGGAAAATCCTCCATTCAGTTCCTTCTCAGGGCGCTATTTCAGCTATGTTCTCATTTGTATTGCAGTAACATGAACGATCCTCACAGATCTATATTTTAGACTCATAAAAATATATAGCAGTTTCCAGACTGGACTGAACAATGTTCAGCAGAATTATTTGCAGCAGGGAATTGTGAGGAGTCAGTATGGCTCAGTCAGGTTATATGCAGAGAAGGAAGTTTGTCTTCCCAAACTTTTTGATGACTGAGATACCAAGCTAAGTAATTGACCTAAACTCATGCAGACTGAGAATTCAGTTCAGGTTTCTGGGCTGTCGGTGAGTGTCTATCAAGACCTATACCTCTGTATAAGGTCTCTAAGTAGCAACTTGTCTCTCTTGTCAAACAGAATACATTGCTCATCCTTCCATTACTTCTTTACTTCTTTACTTACGAAGCTGCTAAAATGGTCTCCTAGTGTCAATGAAGTGTTTAGTTTTGTAGGCATAATCTTTTTCTTTAGTGAAACAAACTGAAGAGTTACAACAAATAATTTCCCATTTTGAATTTCCTCTGCTGCCCCGAGTCTGAAAGCCTTTATTCTCCCAAGTACACCCTCCTAAAAATACCTACCTGCCTTGATGGGCACTGTTTTCAGTTCACTGATATGCCTGAGATCATTGTGCAATCGTGTGTTTGTTGTGACCTTTTCTCTGTCATGTAGACGCCTCTGACTATGTCCAGGTAGATTTTACATTGCGTATTGTGTATTTGTTTAAACAGATTTGCCATGTTCCACAGTGTCAGGATACCTAAAGAAAGCATCCTGAATATAGCTGGAGATGTCACAGCTGAGGGGAACTACTCAAGTTCTGTCAAGGTATGAATCAGGGAGTCAGTCAAGGTTTTGTTTCATTAGTAAAGTTCATTAAATATACAAAGGTACAAGTAGTTTAAGAAATGGGAACATGGGTCTCTCATGTTGATAGCTTGACTTAAATAAGGCTGACAATTTTACACAAGATACTCGGAATGCTGGTTTTTAATTGCCTTTCAGAGATGTCTCAGCTCACCTTACTGGTTTTACTGAATTCTTGCTCTTTGTGCTACCCAACTGATCCCAAATTAGCTGAGAGGAACTACTCTGAGTCTTGCCTGAATGCCTTATCTGAATGTGTCAGGAAAGAAAATTGGCAAATCCTCTGGGATTCTGATCACGCTACCAGAGTTGTCTCTTTACAGGGGTGGTAAATTAAACAGCCTCACCCTTCAGTCTGTGCCTTTTATTCATTCAGGATGTTAAAGAGCGTTTTAGTGCAGCTCTGGGATCCTTGTCCACTGGCAGAATTCTGATCACGGCAGTTTCCACAACCAATTTAAAGCTTGCCTTATCGATAGCCATTCGCTTCTCAGCAGCTCGACGTCAGTTTGGACCAACTGATGAAGAAGAAATACCCGTCCTTGAATACCAAACACAGGTAAATCCATGAAACTCAGATTCAGAGCTACTGCAGATAAAAATAGCAACACCGAAGGTAGTGAGATTAAAGTTGTCAGTGTCATCTGAAGTGGCATTCCAGTGCAGCTGTGGAGGTTCATTCCAACTCAAGACCTCCTGGCATGATCAGACTTTTGACATAAGTTCTTGGAATAACAAAACCCCAAATACTCACGTTTCTCTGAAGTACCTAGAAACATTTTTCTTCTAAAATAGTAACCTTTTCAGAGAAAGACTGGCTTCTATGCACACGTTAAAGTGCCGCAGATGGAGAAAATAGTATTTGTTTAAAAATGTCCATGTCTCTTTTGCTTCTCTGCTAACTTTCTCTTTTTTAGCCTTTATGCTTTAAAATTACAGAAATCAATGACATTCATCGTGGTGAAGTCTCAAGCTAGCACTAATATAACCAAAGCTTTTCAGCAGATTATGCAGGTGAAAAATACCTTTTCTTCTTAAAAAAAATAGAATAGTGTGTAGGGTAACTGGGAAATAGAGAAAACTCGGGTCTGCTGAATGAGGAAGGTTAATATGTAAGAAGTGCTGAGAACAAACCTGCCCACTTTGTCCTTGCGAAGTGGTTGCTTTTTTCCAGATTTGCACTTAGTCTTGCAACTTTGCAAGATGTAGTGGGTTTCTACAAACTGTCAAAAGCCACCTTCTTTCGACCTCTTCTGCAAACGCTGGGGTCTGCTTCCCACTATTCTTTGAGTCTCTCAATTCTGCTCAGTTTTGGCGTGTTCTGTGGGCTCTTGCTGAACCTCTCATTCTCTTCTTGCTTTACCACAGAAGGTTTTCCAAGCAGTTTCTCATTTCCTTCATGGGCTCCTAATTGCATGGAGCAGCAAAGATGCTTTTTCCTCTGCTTCCCAGCCCTGGGGTTTTTTTGCAGAATGCAACTAGTGCTAGAGTACATTCAGCAGTGGACAAGCAAGTGGAACTGTTATAGCTGTACCAACAACAGTTTCGCATTTTGGTACTGAAAAACGCATAAATCATGACCGGCCCTGGCATGCCAGACGTTGTCCAAACACAGGGCAAAAATATGTCGTTGGTCCCCAAAGTGTCAGTGAATTTTTGCACTGGTTTAACAGAATGTTTATCACAAGTTCATAAAATGTCATAAACTTTTGTTCATGAAATGTCATCACATGCATGAACTAGAATAATGTAACTGTAACTTGTGTATAGTTACACTTAATTATGTTCATGGATGGCGTAGTTTTAATCTTTATATAACAGTTTTCCAATCTGAACAAAGTAAAAATGAATGGGTTGGTTCAATATTGTAAGGTAGTTACATATATGTAACTATAAAAAAATACATAACAATTTGCAATCAAATCTATTTAATTTTTGTTCTAGCAATGGCGTCTTCTTCCTTATCTGGCTGCCGCATATGCCTTAGATTATTTCTCCAAATCCCTGTTTGAGAACTTCATAGAATTTTATGCAGGCTTATTGACAAAGCAAAGGAGTCAGAGACAGGTGAGATATTTACACATTTCTTGTTAGCTAAGAAGCCATCTTAAAATCAAGAATGCTAGAGCAATGTTTCAGAAATATGGGGCATACAGAATGGTGGTTAAAGTTGCATTTAGAAAAGCATCAAAATTATTTTTGATGTAGTGGTTAAAGTTTTATTGATTTCTATGGGATTTAAGGTTATGTTCCCTTGAAAATTTGTTTATCATAAATGTATTATGATAATGTAAATTCAGCTTACAACTCTCGCAAATTAGACAGTGGGGGCCATATATCAAAGACTTTCCGAAATGATACTGTTCTTAATTCCTGGACAGACTCTGTGAGTCTGGCTTGAGTTTGCGATTCATATTCATGCATTAGGATAAATTTGGGAGAAAAAAGACTTTTGAGTCTTAATGCTGAATTTCTCACCTGCAATCAAACCACTGGAAGTCAGCCCTTTACAGGGAAAATGTTTGATCTATCTGTCTCTGTGCAAGGACTGATTCTTTACCAAAATAACTGCAGTATGGTTTTTTTTATAGCATATCAATTTTTTTTTTTTTTTTTTTTAAATTGACAGTATTAATTTTTAGGGCCAACACACTGGCTGTGTGTTGCTCAGATCTTGCTTAAACCCTCAGACATTTTTCAGCTAAAATAAAGGTCATGAAAGACTTGTGTGCTAATGGTTGGATATTCTAATTTCTCCTCTTTGTGCAAACCACAGAAGAATCTGTTCAATTTTTTTAATCTAATACTTCATACGTTTGTGCTAACCTTAGGCAAAGCAGTGGTTTTCAGAAAAGATACTGTGATAGAGAAAAATCTGATTACAATGTTAAGAGTGTAATCCTTATGAATTCCTTTTGTTGTACAGGAGATCTTTAAAAAAAAAAACCACAAAGAAAAACCAAACCAAAAAACCAACCAGGTAGTTACTGTTAAACAAACTTTGATTGTATCAACCCACTATATCTAGACACTGGAATTCCAAACACATTTTCAAAGGAAGGCCCACAAAGTTAGTGTAAATGCCGACTACTGTGATTATCTGGAAATTGAGGGAGTATAAATTGAGAGTAGGACAGTTTTCCTACTCTTTGCAAAACTGATACTTGAAAGATCAGTGGAAACCATGTAAGGCAGTAAATATCAATATCCCCTTGCTGACTGGGGTGAGAGGGATTGCTTATGTCACAGAGAGGACAGAAGGTTTCTCTGGACATGCCACATTCAACCACCATCCTTGGGAGGAAAAGTGAACTCTCCCATACAATACCATGTCACTTGGCACATCTGAGCTGAGATGTATCCATGTGTCCATTACCTGGCACAAATTATTGCTGTCCCATATAAGAAAGTGCTGCAGGTTTTTCAGCTGTGGCAGGGTTTTTTTTTTTGGTGGCAGAAGAAAAATACACTCTGCCCATACATAGGTCTCATAAAATTTTATTTATGTATTGCCAGTTACTCTTTTTTCATTATAAAGCGGTACACGTATCTATGGCTTTAGCTGGTCACAAACTTTCTTTGTGTAAAAGTTATTACTCACATTTAACTTGTTTTTCACAAAGGCTGATTTGGGACGTGAGATTCACGCCTTATCTGCTGCCAGCAAACCACTGTCTTCTTGGACTGCTCAGCAGGCAGCCCAGGAGTGTCGAGAAGCTTGTGGAGGACACGGTTACCTTGCCAGTAAGTTACAGACTACAGGCATAAACAACTCTCTTGCATCTTATCTGAGAATAATTATTTCTTCTCTCTTAGATTCCATTAATACATTGCAATGTATTAAATTGTGCACTTGTTCTTGTTAAGTGAATCGTCTGGGTGAAATCCGAAATGACAATGATCCAAACTGCACATATGAGGGAGATAACAACGTCCTGCTTCAGCAAACCAGCAACTACTTAATGAGCTGGATAAATTGCATAAGAGGTAGGTTTTCATTGCGGAATCCTATGCTGGACCCAGCAGTGTGTAGATAATGAAATGAGGAGGTAATTTCATACTGAAAGCAATTGACAGTCATTTCATCATTTTGTAGAGCATAAATAATGTGCTACAGACATCATATGATAGGTTCACAATACACGGATATTTGCTGCAAGAGATATTCTTTCACTTAAGTCTTGCAGATGTTTTGCCATCCCTTATCAGATTAGGTAGTATCTTACTCCCTGAGAAGTAGTTCAATGGAACTACTCCTAAAGTTGTCCTGATTACCCTCTGCTCATTGTACTTAAACCAGTTAATATTACCTAACTTAGTAGCAGTGTCCATCAGCATGATTTGTAGCTCTCTAGATTTTCTTTCAATTTCCTAGCAATGAGTTTCACCACCATTTAGGGAATTGGAAAACTCAGCAATAGGAGTTTAATCTTAGGGGGCTTGTAGGCAGTGATGTCAGGTTTTTCAGCACTTGTCCACCAGTTCTCATTTGGCTGGACTAGGCCATAATAAAATAAACATTATGGCCTAATTGCATTTGGCCTATCAAGTATATGCATAGTTTTGTAATAGACTTTCAGTTCCAAAGAGTCTGATTTCTTGTCTCATAAATCATTTTTATTTTCTTTGGTATTTCAGATAAAGTGCCTTTTGAATCTCCTTTTGGAACAATAAACTTCTTGCAAGACTACCATCGTATCATAGACTGGAAATTTACAGCCAGTAGTGTTGAAGATTGCATGGACTCCTCAGGTAGCCATCTGCTGTTGTTAAATTGATTCTAGAACCTTAAACTGCTTTCCAGAGATTTGAGATTTAACCTCTTCTGTATATTAGATTTTGTCATATTACTATTTGCTGACTTTCTTTGTTCTATTTGCATTTCAGTTTACTAGGAAAACAGTTTTCATTTCAAAATATGTCCTACCATCCCCAGCCTCAAGTCTGGAATGGAGGATAGCAGCAGATATTTTTGTTCCTCTAAAATAGCATCTAGAGTTTTTTGCCACTTAATTGTTGTTTTCCAGTGAAACTATTGTGAGGGGCATTAACTGCCATCACCCTTATATCATTAAAAGATCTTATTTTAGAAAACCATGCAAGTGATTTATAAATATGTTGAAAAGACTCTTAAGTATCTTCACTTTTTACCATTGCTTTTGGTTACATGGAGAAAAATGAGTAACGGTGAAAGAAATTTCCCTGCAGTTGTCCTGGCTTATTCTGCTGTAATCAAATCAAGGTGACATTACATGCCATTCCCACCTTTGTGTGCCTGTGTCTCCAGACTGGCCCTTGGAGGCAAAAATTAGCAAAGAAATGAACAAATAATCAGATAGTGACAGAGAGTTGAGCAAAAGTGAATCTGTGAAACTGAGAACATGCTGGAGGGAGAAACTCCACTCCTAATATGTAAGGGGCAATTGAGTTGATTCCTAGAATTCAGTAACCACTTCATGCTCAAATAATTGCAAAAAAGCTGAATTTCTGATAGTGATGCACAGCACCAAGTGAGGTAGTATCATAATGGCTATAGGGTGAAATCCGAATAACTTCAGAATACAAAGAGTGGTTCAAAACAACAGCTTGCTTTCTTCTTTGTTGTATGTCTCCAGCTTGTGACATCCAGCAGAGCACCAACTGATACCTAAGCATATGTTCTCTCCTCTCTTGTAATACCTACTGAACCAGACTTTAGTTTTAAAAATACCTGAATCTGTTTTATTGCATTCTGTTAGAAACTTGACTATTAATTTAGGTGCCCAAATTTAGGCAGCACGTAAACACTCACAATTGCCTGAATAATACTGTACATTAAATCTTAAGCTAAGCAACAAGCAAGCAGGATTCATACAAGCACTTTATGCTGCAGTACTTTTTTCCTTACTAGTTCCGGGCTGCTCTAAAAGTATAACACACTTACATAGAAAGCCGTTAGTTCAAATGCAGTTCCATGCAGCCACCTTTGCAAGCTTAGAAGTCACAGGCTTGGCAGTACGTAGCATCATTGCACAATTGCAAAGGGATGGGTCCATGAAATGTCTTCTTTTCTTATATTCTTAGGACATACTGAGTACCTTGTAGACCTGAGTCTTAATATGGGAAGAAAATAACAAGCTAAAAAATATGATTGAGTCAGAAAATATTTGTCTCTAAATTGAGCTGTGGATATACCTTGTCTGTTAGCTTGGGGCCGGTTTGAACTAGTGTATGGTAAGCCGTGGTACGCCTGCACTGTACAGGTACAACCTGACTATCGTACCCAGCTGTTATTTTCTGCAGCTACTGTAGTGGGCAAAGTGTCATGTTAATAGATTGGTTAATTAACACTTGAACTTTTCAGAGTGGGTAACAAAAACTGAGACTGCAGTGGAATCTGCATGTGACTTCTTGCATTATAAACGTGAATATTAAGAATTTGGGGTTTCTCTTTTTCAGTTCCTTTAGCAGCATATAAATGGCTGGTTTGCTACCTGCTCCGAGAAAGTGACCTAAAGCTGAGCAAGGAGAAGCAGTCTGGGCGAGGTGATTTTGAGGCAAAAAACAACTGTCAGGTAATACTTATTCAGCTTTCTTATTTTATTTACTTACTTTCATTGAAGTTTGTCAGATCCGTTTTAGTTTTTTCTTCTTGTGTCATGAAGTGTGATTTCCTTAAGCATAAAGCAGCAAGTCATGTAACTAATAAAATGTAATACCTGTCCATGTGCATTGTATTGAATACGATAGCAGGAGGACAGTTATCATCATCAGAAGTCTTCCAAGATATATTTCCCTTCAGAAAAGTTGCAGACATGTGCTGGGTGATGTCTGTAATTTTGATATCACAACTTCTGAAGACTAAATCTACTACTATTAAAGGTACTGCAACATCTGAATATTACATCTCCGTCTGCTCTTATGGCCAAATACATACTGTAGGAAAGAATCTTGCTCTGGCAGGTAGGTAAACTAGATGACCTAATAGGTCTTTTCCATCTCTAATTTCTATAGTGCAAAGTACTCATGAAAGATACCAGACTGACAGCATTGGAAGCTGAAAAGGAAACATTGACAGTCTACATATAGCAGATCCACTCGCTCACCAGTGAGTTTTAACAGCTAGGAACGGCTTAACTCCAAATTTTAGTGTATATCCCCAAGCTCCCCAAATTCTTCTGTTACCTCCATGAGGAAAAACTGGCTGACATCCAGGAAAAGAACACTTGTCATTTGTCACTGAGGAGAGATCTTTTCCCTGAAGATGGCCAGTGTCATTCACCTTATCTGCAAAGCTCATTAAAAAACAGCAGGAAGGAATATTCAATTCTGCACCTAGAAAAAAGCCAGCCTAACTTCCACAGGGATGGTCTGTGTAAAACCACTGGTAGAGTGGAGGAAACCTTTCCTGTTTTTACCCTGAATCAGCTTATTAGAGAAACTTTTCACAGTCAGATTCAGAATGCTGATTGTCTGTCAGTTGGCCAGCTCTTGGGAGGCTGGTGCCAGGACCAGTGTATTGGAGAGGATGATTTGTTCAGCAGCATGAAGGTTACTCACCTGTTTCTCTTTTATTTTCAGGCGTGCTATAATTTAAAGATACTTAGGACACAACAACTTTTGAGAAAGCATTGATATACCTTAGGTCATTATGTTTCCTTTTCTCAATTCATCCTCAGGACAGTAGGATTGTTGATGTTAAATGACATGCCTCAAAAACATCTGAAAATTATTTACAAGCTGAGCTTTAAAGACATGTACATACTTGACTTTAAAATTTCTGGGCATGAAGAAGCACTTTTCTGTCAGCCCAGTGGCTGACTAATATATAATATTTGTTCTTCCTATGGGAGATCTGGAAGAGATTCCTAGCCTATGCCTCGGTTATTTTGCTTTGGAGATAGCCTCATAGAAACAATACAGAAGTGCAAGCAAAGTTAAAGAAGGAAATAGAATTACAGGGGAGAAGAATAGGGAATTAATTCTTAATGCATCATTTGCAATGCTAAGACTTATTTCATTCTGACTAAGGAATCCACATTCATATCTAAAAAAGTCCATCTGGTAAGGAGGACATTCTCCCTAAACCTGCAGAGAATGGATATGTATTTTGCAGGTCATACTTTTATCTGAGCTTGGATGTTAAGTATGCCATTGAACAGCTATCAAAAGAGACAGCAGACTCTGGAATATGCCTTTTTTAAATGCCACAGTGGATTTAAATGCAAAGATGATGCAAGTACTTAAAAGAAAAAAGGAAAACTAATCAATGAATTCTAAATGAAAAAAGAAAAAAACAAACCTGAACAAATGAGCTAAAAACAAACTCCAGTTTATGGCATTGCAACAAATCAGCCACAACAGCAATGGTCTCATGTTCCCATTCTGTTCACCAACGGTTCTGTTTTCAGTCAGCAGTCTGTTTCATGGTAAAACATAAGCCATGATACAGCAAAGGCGAAGTATATAAAAGTAGACAAGTGTACCTAGGTGAGTACAGTCACTTAAGGTGTTACACTCTTAAAAGAGTAACTGGTGACTTGCCTTTCTGATCAGATAATTGGCAAGGATTAGTTGGATAGTTCTTTCAAAAGATACTGCAGTCTATTGCAATCCATAAACAGAATCCACTCATGCTCACGTGATCAAATTTTTTATTTATTATTTGAATGGACTGTAGTAAGTTTTAATAGTTTACTGAACCACTTTGAAGATTTTATCCTCTTTATAAAATTCTGCATGGTATTAAATAAATGTAAACCTACTTCTATCTTCTTAGAGTTAAATGGGTTAATTAATGATCCTAAAGTCAGGAAACGTGATTTTGCATGGTCTTCTCTCTGATGTAGCTACTTCATGCCATACAGTCTGGGTGCAGCTGACAAATTACACTGGTAATAGGCAGACAATCTGCCCTGCCTTTGGCTTGTTACAAAAGACTACCCAAACTGGAACACAGTGGAAAATTAGGATCTAATTTTCTAAGAGTCATTTCAGGAGTTATTTTATGACTAACCTTTGCAAAGATGATGTAGAAAGCATTTTCTCCTAGAGTTTCTTCTTAGACTTTTTTTAACCTTAAACTATCTAATCTCGAACTAATCTCAAGCAGATCTAAATCAACAGATCTCCACTCATTTAACCAGAGCAATGCCATTTTGCACCAGCTGAGGACTGGTTTCTGGTATTTTGTTACTCGGTGCCCTTCTTTTCTCTTTCCTAAGGTGTACTACTGCCGATCATTAGCCATTGCTTTTATTGAACAAACAGTCTTACAGAGATATCATGACTACACTCATGATCCCAACATTCCAGCTACTCTGCAGACAGTGCTTAAGAATCTCAGTGCTCTGTATGGACTCTGGGCTTTAAGTAGACACCTGGCTGTGCTCTACCAAGGTGAGATTAGCTCCCTGCATATACTGTGCATGTCACTTTATGAAAATTTTAATTTAAAGATTAAGAATTGTTTTTCCCACGTTGTATTTTGGCAGGGGGAGGGAATCCTAATTAATGATTTAGATTAGAGCATTTCCTTATTGTCTGTGTAATATAAAACCACCATTATGAAAAAAAGTTTGAGGAGCAGAAATCTGGAGCTCCCAATTAATCCAAAAGGCTGTCTCTTAGCTCAGAGATGATGGAGGGCTCACAAGTTTTGATGTGGTCCAGTGCTTGGGGGAGAGGTTGGGGTGTAGGCAGCCAGATGCTGTAGTTAATGCAGAAGGCTCCAGATGTCTTGGATTGACAGTTTTGCAGTCCAGTTATTAATGAAAGACAGTCCAATTACACAGGAACATCTATTTAGTCTCTTGAATACTGAACTGATAAACTCTTTTGTCAAAGGGTTGTATCAGTGCAATTTTAACTGGCATAAGCTTCTTGGTGAATGTATTTGCAGGTGGCTATGCTTCAGGTGAACAAGCTGGTAGATTTATTCAGAATGCTATTCTGGAGCTCTGCTACAGGGTAAGCCTTCCATATTGTTCTGATTAAATAATAATTTAATATACAAGTACTAAAAAAGAGGTGTGTCTGTTATTCTATACCTCAGTGGGTAAATGAGCAGGATATTACATTAATAGTTTCTGAATAACTTTCTGTAAAGTTTAGTAACTGATTGGCCCTGAATCTAGTCCTAGATTATTTACCAAAAAAAAAGCAAAACAATACATCTTGCAAAATAACAATCTGTGATTTGTGGCCTTGCAGTCTTCATTGGAAAGCCAGTGAAATACTGCAATCCAGTTCTATTTATTTCATTATGGTGTTAGCTCTTTTTTATTTTCAACTCAAAAGCTTTTCAAACTGGATCATTCACAGGTAGGTAAAATTTCAGTGAAGAATCTGGAAGTTACGGTTTTAAAGTTCAAAAATACATGGTTTCATGTTTGTACCATCTTGGTTAAAATGTATTTTAAAACCCCTAAGCAAAAGAGGAAAACATTTAAAATACAGTCCCTTTTTGGAAATATCCCTGGGAGGAAAAAAGGCAAAATTAATCTAGATTCGTTATTGTGGATTTCTCTTTAAGTTACCGATAACTGGTACTTTATGAAAATATGCTGCTCCTTAGTTCTCAGGTAGCCATAGATAACTACAGAAGTTGCCAAATGTATTTCTTTTGGTTTTAAACAGTTAAAAGATGATGCAGTTGCCCTGGTCGATGTCTTTGCTCCTCCTGACTTCATTCTCAACTCTCCCATTGGTAAAGCTAGTGGAGAGGTAAGAAAACCCATTTTAAAATGTGTAAGTTTAATCATTAAGAAGCATATTGCCTGTACATAGCCATAACATATTCAAGACACTTCACAGCTGCAAAAGAAAAGGAGGACGCTTTTTCACTGGAAAGTGCCATGGTTAGATTGATGTCAGCAGAAAACGATGTTTTGCATTTGCTGGACATAGGTAGGATTCAGTGACAAAGTCATACAGTATTGCTCTAGTTTGCTCTTGTGGATGCCTGTGCTGCTGAACAACAAAATTAAAAATTACACCATCTCCTAAGATTCCTTAAGAAGTAACATGTCTTCTGTATATAGCTTAATAAGTTTGAGAGGTAGTAAAGTGTGTTTCTGCTCGGCTTAAGACTTTGGCTGCATTTATTGGTATTCACATTACACCCAGAGCTGTGTGATTTGCATATAAATGGTGTACACAGTTTTTCTTTCTTTTAATTCTTCATGAAATAGTTATTTTAATAAGCAAAAGGAAAATTTAAAACTTATTCCACTTAAAAATTATATCAGAAATGGCACAATTCTTTGAGAATTCTGTTTATCCAGTGGGAATTCTAGGATATGACAGAGTATCTTGTACTAACCAGTACAAGGTGTGGCATTACCCAAGGGATCTCAGTAATCTTAATACATAGTTAAAGGATGTGGTTTTGTTAGCACCTCTCCTTGCTGTAATGAATATATAATCCATCCTTGTAAAGGCTGAGGGAGATTTTTTTGTATAGTCTAAGTTACACAAAAGGAAGAGTTGAATCAAGAATGTAAGAATGGCCATACTGGATCCGGCTCACAGAATACTCTGTAACTGACAGTGGCCAAGGAAAACACTGTATGAAACAGATGAAATATTGAAGTGTTCTTTCCATGGTGTCTCAGCTGTTGGCAGTTGGTGGTTTAAGAGATACCTAAAGCCATAGGTTGTATTTGTATCACTGTTTAATAGCCACAGATGTATCTATCCTCCATTCATTTTTCTCATCAATTTTCAAATTCAGCTGTCTTTTGGCTTCCATGACACCATAATATCCTTAATTTGAATACTGTAAAAAAATACTTCCTAGTCCCAGTCGGTATATATTTACTATCTGGAGGGCGGAGCTTTTCATTCCTGCAACAGGTTTTGTTTTCCTTCTGTGTATCTTTCCTAGTTCTGCTGTATCCTTTCTGAGGTGTCATAACCAGACCTACAAGCAGGATTCAGGATGTGGGTGCACCATGGATTTGGCTATCCTAGGTCGTGGTCCCTCTCTGCTTTTTTTTTTTCCCCTTGGCATATTTAAAGAGCTATATTTCATTCCAAAGTCTCAGCAAACCAAAATTCTTGCTTACTGGCCAACCCTAGGCAGCAGGGCCAAGCTGTGGGATGACTGTTATGTAGACAGTAGTGTCACAGTATGGGAGTTTGGTTTAGTGTGGGTAGACCCTGTAGAGAATCACTGGAGCCTGGGGAGACTGCCAGGACTGACAGGATTGCTGAGTCAAGTGGACTCAATGCTTTTCAATATTCTCTGTCTGTGTCTTCATGTCTGAAGTTATCCATCGTTCCCATGGTGATCAAGCAATACAGAAGGCAGCCTAGATTTTTCTAACCAGATGCTGACCTAACGGAGATTACTTTGGTAACACAGGCTCTACAAATAAAGGAGGAAGGGCTAGCTCCACGTACCCAGCCATCTCAACAAGAGGATTATAATTGGCACTGGAATCTTTGTTTCCATTTCTGTAGATTTTTGAGGCTTAAATTAATGAAAGAGGTCATGGGAGGTGTGCTGGATTCATCCAGAAAAGAGTTAACTCTCTTTAC